ATCTGATCTCAACTGTTTTCATCTCGTCTCATCTATTTTCATCTCATCGCCTCTTATCTCATCTTATTTGATCTCATCTTAACTGTTTTCATCTTATCTCATATTATTTCATCTCATAACCTCGTACCGATGAAAAATAAGATGAGAGTAGATGACGCGGTGAAATGAGATGAGATATAATGAAATGAGAGTAGTTGAGGTGAATTATTGATATACAGGTTGTTTCTGTAAGTCGTGGCATAATTTTAATTACAAACACTAGATTAAAAATGATAACGATTCGTCTAAAAATTGTTGGTTTAAACCGATAAATGGCTAGGATCATTCATTAGATCTATCTTCAAAGTTAAGAAATTTTTAAACATTTTCTTAAATATTTTCAATATGATTTGTCTTAGAAATATAAAATTTCGTAAACAGTGCAATGTTATCATGAAAAATCGTTTAAGACCATTAGATTAAGGGACACGCCAAGCCGTACTTTTGGATATTCTGAAATGTCTTCTTATATGGACAGTAATAGAGTAAATATTAAAATATTTTCTTCTAGTTCCGGTGTACAAACTGATCTCTGATTCCCGTTATTTACATACTTTTTGTCATACTTTTTGTCAGTTTGTCTGCGCTTGGGAAATATTTTGCAATATTATCTAGCAGCTGCGTTAGTAGGACTTTGAAAGCCCATATCTTAGCCATTTTGGGGATCAATATCATTTTTACACTAGTATTTGTGATTAAAATTATGCCACGAATTGTAGAAACACCCTCTTATAGCATCCAGCTATGGGATTGTGGTAGTAAGAGCTATTTAGAAATAGTGCAATGATACCAAGACAAATTATAAAGCAGTCCTTGGTATTGCAGAAATAGTTAGTCAGGTTCACCGTTAGTCAGGGCATTAGCGAAGCCATCCATAATGTATAAGCTATCCAAATAATAAATAATAAATAAGAACCAGATCAGAAAACTCAAGAGAATCATCAGCCTCTGCTTTGTTTGTTCTGTATCCAGTTTTTGTTCATAACAAACTACCCATGTTTTCAGTATTTCGCCTTGCTCCATAAGAATTCGTTACACTTAGTCATTGCTCATTATGATCCTAGGTTTAGATCCTTTCCTATTCTTATTTACATTTTGGTAAAATTTCCTCGTGTCCGACTGTGTTCTTAGTTCCTGCTTCTCTCCTTTTTGGGCTGTGAGTGCTGTTTTCTTCCTTCCTCCGTGTTTTGTTCACCTCCTCCGTTTTTTTCTTTTTATTTCTTAACTTTAAAGTTTAGACCAAAAATTTTTACACGAATCGTCTTCATTTTTACTCTAATATTTGTGATTTAACTTATGCCACCACTTACAGAAACACCTGTCTATGTCTTTTTATTAATTCTTATTAACAAGCTGAAAGTGCGGCTGCGAAGAATGTTAAATTGAGGTCCCCGTCTCATTTGGAACAGTACTCCATCTTGAAATGAGTAGAAATGAAAATTAGTTTAGAAATTTGACATTCTCTTTCTGATGAGGATGGTAATAAGAGTAATTTTAAACATAGTGGTGGTACATTTTCTCAAGTAATTTACCATAAACAAAATATCTTTTGATCGATTCTGATGGGATGACATAAATAATATCAAAACACTTTTTTTAGTAAATTAGTTGAACTGTTGTGATAGAAACGTCAAATATAAACTCGCCATAAAACCTAGTTTTATAAAGCTTACTCAGCTTGAAATCAACTCGATTTCACAACAATATCACAACGCTTCAGTTAATCAAAAAACGAGATGCTCGATTAATGCCATGTTAAATCTCGATAAGCGTTTCAAAACCTGACCTAATTGTTATAAAAAAAAAATCTCTAGGTCGAATATTAGTTCTAGTGACAGTGTTAAGTAACACTAAGTAGCACTACATAGCACTGAGTTATTGTATACCTTTTTTGAACTAAAACTAGAACTAACACAAGACCTAGAACTAGAAACATTCGAGTTTAGACTTTAGACGCACGGCTAAACCCGATACTTTCCAGCTCTAGGTCTAGTGTTAGTTCTAGTTTTACACTATCACTAGAACTAACACAAGACCTAGAACTAGCATCATTCGGGTTTAGCCGTCTTGAGAGACGTGCAGCAAAATCCGAATGTTTCTAGTTCTCGGTCTAGTATTAGTTGTAGTATTGTACTAGAACTATCACTAGAACTAACACAAGACCTAAAACTAGAATCATTCGGCTTTAGCCGTCTTAAGAGACGTGCGGCTAAACCCGAATGATTCTAGTTTTAGATCTTGTATTACTTCTAGTGATAGTGCAATGCTAGACCTAAAACTAGAATCATTCGGTTTTAAGCGCCTTGAGAGACGTGCGGTTAAATCCGAATGCTTCTAGTTCTCGATCTAGTGTTAGTTTTAGTTTTGCACTAGAACTAACTTAAAACCCAAAACTAGAATCATTCGGGTTTAGCCGTATTGAGAGACGTGCGGCTAACTCCGAATGTTTCTAGTTCTCGGTCTAGTGTTAATTCTAGTATTGCACTAGAACTATCACTAGAACTAACACAAAACCTAAAACTAGAATCATTCGGCTTTAGCCGTCTTGAGAGATGTGCGGCTAAACCCGAATGATTCTAGTTTTAGGTCTTGTGTTAGTTCTAGTGATAGTGCAATCCTAGAACTAACACCAGACCTAAATAAACTATCCAAATTCTCAATAATACAAACCAGATCAGAAAACTGAAGAGAATCAGATTCTGCTTTGTTTGTTCTGTTTGCAGTTTTTGTTCATAAAACGACCCAGGTTTTTAGTATTTCGCCTTGCTCCATGAAAATTCACCACCCTTAGTCATTGTTCATTATAATCCTAGATTTAGATCCTTTCCTATTCTTATGTACATTCTGGTAAAATTTCCTCGTGTCCGACTGTGTTCTTAGTTTCTCTAATTCCTGCCTCTCTCCTTTTTGGGCTGTGAGTGCTGTTTTCTTCCTTCCTCCGTGTTCTGTACTCCTCCTCCGTTTTTTTCTTTTTATTTCTTAGGTTTGAAGGCCCATATCTTAGCCATTTATAAGTTTAGACCAAAAATTTGGACTCTAATATTTGTGATAAAACTTATGACACGACTTACAGAAACACCTGCATTTGTCTTTTTATTAATACTTATTAATTGATTTTGTGAAAACTATGGATGGTTTAAATGATAGAGATAAACAAGTTGAAAGTGTGGCTGCGAATATTAAAATGAGGTCCCTCTCATTTGGAATAGTACTCCATCTTGAAATGAGTAGAAATGAAAATTAGTTTAGAAATTTGACATTCTCTTTCTGATGAGGATGGTAATGAGGGTAATTTTAAACATAGTTGTGGTATATTTTCTCAAGTAATTTACCATTAAAAAAATATCTTTTGATCGATTCTGATGGAACGACATAAATATCAAAACACATCTTTTAGTAAATTAGTTGAACTGTTGTGATAGAAACGTCAAATATAAACTCGCCATAAAACCTAGTTTTATAAAGCTCACTCAGCTTGACGTCAACTCGATCGAACGATATCACAACGCGTCAGTCAATCAAAAAACGAGATGCTCGATTAATGCCATGTTAAATCTCGATAACCATTTCAAAACCTGACCTAAATGTTATAAAAAATTTTTTAAAACATTTTTTTCTAATATTGATATCAAAGAGTTATTATTTATACTTAATAATCTTGATTATAAAATAGAACTTATTAAAGAAATAACAGTGTCATTAAATAAATTGCCTTATTAATTTATAATAAACTTAATGATTGGATCAAAAAAAAATCTTACTTAAATCATTTCTTAATAAACCAATAATTTAAGTATATATTGTCACGTAATTATCTAGTAATTTGACCGTTTACAAATTGATCATTCTCAATTACCCTATAATTTAGATTTTATGCAAATAAATTCGTTACGATAGCCAACAAACGTCATTGATCTAAAAAGAAACTTTGCTTTGCGTTTTGGCGCTCGTTTTTCGACCATAAATTACTTTAAAATTACACTTTGAAACGAGTTTCGCATAATGTGGGTCACTAGGTGTGGGTTAATCAAAATTATTATCGATATTGACGCAGCTTTAGGTTCCACTTTTACTCAGAACCCGAGTACGACATCGTTTTCAGATTGCGCAACTTTTTACTCGGTCTTGATTTACAACCAACAGATACCGACGACGACGGCGGCGATGGAATGAGGTGCTAAGTTTAAACTTTTACTCGCCGCATACTTCTTAATGCCATTTTGCTGGCCCATTTTTGGTAGACGATCGTAAATTTTACTTTCATATTTTAGAAACAATTTTAGTTTCGATGCCAAAGTTAATTTTTCTTGAAAAATTTTTTTCTCTTTGGGTTGAAAAGAGATATGTTGTTACATAACTGTATAAAAAAACTAACACGACGTTTACTTTCACGTGTTGTATTAGATTCTGAACAATGGGGGCGATTTTTTTTTGTTTGAAATGCTACTGTAAGACATATGTAAGTTCTAAAGCCTTACAAGGTTTCAGTTTTGCTCTTAGCCCATTCATTATTCTAATTGATGCTGTACTGAGATAAATCAACGCGTAATTTATGCGTTTTGTTTTGCATTCCGGTCGCGTAATGTCTTTTACAAACATATCCTTTGCTGTGTCATGTAATTAACCTTTCTTCGGATAAATTTATCAATTGTGAATGAATTGGGAATGATTTCTTTTGGCCGCGCCTTTTTTTAAATGTTATACAACATCCGTTTACAAATTAAACTCACTTTCTCCCATAAACCCACCCGAACCAACTTAACCATCAGCCTGTACAGAAATTGGTACAGACGCAACTTACCTAATCCAATCTACTATAACACAATGGTGTATTGTTCTATAATTTGGGTATAACAAAGGACCGTTTCGCGTGCTACTCTTCTAATTGAAAGCAATTAGATAACATGATTCTTGGTTAATTTTCTTTTTTTAAATAAATTTATTTATTTGTTCGTTTTCAGGCGGTGTTTCACACCGATCCTTTTCTTAGCCTATCTATTTGGATTGGCAAATGGAATTCAATACTCTCAGTTAGATCTTCAAGGACTCAACGATGGTGAATGTGCTTTATTATTGGAGGGACCTGGAAGATCCAGTCAATTTGATTACACATATAACTTATTGAGAGGGAACCCGCTGTAAGTTAAACACAATTAATTCACTACTAACGAGTTTTAACATTGATCTTGAAAACGGTTGGAATAAAAAATTGAAACAATAGCCACTGGAATTCTCATCAAGCGGAAAAATTTACGATTAAAACCAGACGGTTGCGTTTCATTTCCGCTAAACGATCACGTACGATCGTTGCCCGTCACAAAAAAAAAATTAAAAAAATAAAACCATCGAGGTTTTCCCCTAAAAATAACGCCGCATGAATAAAAGATTTTCTTATACCCATAAGCTTTCTCGATTGCATCATTTTACAGCGACACTTTCTTCTCTTTAATCCCAACACAAAATTATTTGATTTGTTTGAAAACGCACGGCTAAACACGAAACTTTCTAGTTCTAAGTCTAGTGTTAGTTCAATGAAAAATATACAACTAACCAATTAATACTAGAACTAACACTAACATTATTAATTAACTAACACTAGACCTAGAACTAAAAAGATTCTGATTTAGCCGTTTTAAGAAACGTACGGTTAAACCCGAATGTTTTTCGCTCTAGCTTGAATATTAGTTCTAGTGACAGTGCTAAGCAATACTAACTAGCACTACATAACGCTAAATTATTGTATATTTTTATTGAACTAAAACTAGAACTAACACTGGACCTAGAACTAGAAACATTCGGGTTTAGCCGCCTTGAGAGACGTGTGGCTAAACCCGAATGTTTCTCGTTCTAGGTCGAATATTAGTTGAAGTGACAATGCTAAGTAACACTAAGTAGCAGTACATAACACTAAGTTATTGTCTATTTTTATAGAACTAAAATTAGTGTCAGTTCTAATTTTACACTATCGCTAGAACTAACACAAGACCTAGAACTAGAATCATTCGGGTTTAGCCGTCTTGAGAGACGTGCGGCTAAATCCGAATATTTCCAGTTCTTGGTCTAGTTTTACTTCTAATATTGCACTAGTACTATCACTAGAACTATGTAACACAAGACCTAAAACTAGAATCATTCGGGTTTAGCCGTCTTGAGGGACGTGCGGCTAAATCCGAATGTTTCTAGTTCTCGGTCTAGTGTTAGTTCTAGTATTGCACTAACACTATCACTAGAACTGACACAAGACCTGGAACTAGAATCATTCGGATTTAGCCGTAACACTATCATTAGAACTTACACAAGACCTAGAACTAGAATCATTCGGGTTTAGCCGTCTTGAGAGACGTGCGGCTAAATCCGAATATTTCTAGTTCTAGGTCTAGTGTTAGTTCTAGTTTTACACTAGCACTATCACTAGAACTAACACAAGACCTAGAACTAGAATCATTCGGGTTTAGCCGTCTTGAGAGACGTGGGGCTAAATCCGAATGTTTCTAGTTCTCGGTCTAGTGTTAGTTCCAGTGTTGCACTAGCACTATCACTAGAACTGGCACTAGACCTAGAACGAGAAACATTCGGGTTTAGCCGTCTTAAGAGACATGTGGCTAAACCCGAATGTTTCTCGTTCTAGGTCGAATATTAGTTCTAGTGACAATGCTAAGTAACACTAAGTAGCACTACATAACACTAAGTTATTGTCTATTTTTATAGAACTAAAACTAGTGTTAGTTCTAGTTTTACACTATCACTAGAACTAACACAACACCTAGAACTACAATCATTCGGGTTTAGCCGTCTTGAGAGACGTGCGGCTAAATCCGAATATTTCTAGTTCTTGGTCTAGTTTTACTTCTGATATTGCACTAGTACTATCACTAGAACTATGTAACACAAGACCTAAAACTAGAATCATTCGGGTTTAGCCGTCTTGAGAGACGTGGGGCTAAATCCGAATGTTTCTAGTTCTCGGTCTAGTGTTAGTTCTAGTATTGCACTAATACTATCACTAGAACTGACACTAGACCTAGAACTAGAAACATTCGGGTTTAGCCGTCTTAGGAGATATGTGGCTAAACCCGAATGTTTCTCGTTCTAGGTCGAATATTAGTTCTAGTGACAATGCTAAGTAACACTAAGTAGCACTACATAGCACTAACTTATTGTATATTTTTATAGAACTAAAACTAGTGTTAGTTCTAGTTTTACACTATTACTAGAACTAACACAAGACCTAGAACTAGAATCATTCGGGTTTAGCCGTCTTAAGAGACGTGGGGCTAAATCCGAATGTTAGTTCTAGAGTTGTACTAGCACTATCACTAGAACTGGCACTAGACCTAGAACGAGAAACATTCGGGTTTAGCCGTCTTAAGAGACATGTGGCTAAACCCGAATGTTTCTTGTTCTAGATCGAATATTAGTTCTAGTGACAATGCGAAGTAACACTAAGTAGCACTACGTAACACTAAGTTATTGTATATTTTTATAGAACTAAAACTAGTGTTAGTTCTAGTTTTACACTATCACACAAGACCTACAACTAGAATCATTCGGGTTTAGCCGTCTTGAGAGACGTGCGGCTAAATGCGAATGTTTCTAGTTCTAGGTCTAGTGATAGTACTAGTGCAATACTAGAAGTAACACTAGACCGAGAACTAGAAACATTCAGGTTTAGCCGTCTTAAGAGACGTGTGGCTAAACCTGAATATTTCACGTTCTAGGTCGAATATTAGTTCTAGTGATAGTGCTAAGTAACACTAAGTGGCACTAATATATATGACTTTAAAATATTTAGTCCGTTATATCCTTAGTCTGTTCTGAGGAGGTCCGTTATATTGAAGTTTTACTGTACACCAATTTATTTTCCTTCTTGGTTTCGGAATGAAGGAGAAACTCAATTAACCCAACTAACCTTAGTTGGTTTGGTTGTTGGTCAATCTTTTTATGGATAAATTGGCACGGTATTTATTTAAACCTTTTTCTTTTTCTAGAACGTACAACGGTCCTCAAACGTGTATTACATATGACGCCGTTAATGCAGCCTATTTAGATGCAAGGAAACGAATACGTAAGTTTAAAATGTATCTCCTTAAATTATTAAATTAATCATAAAAACAACAATGGATTTAATCAGACACAATAAACAATCAAAAAGTTATTGCTGCGATTAATATTTTAACTCATACAATAAGAAATATGATTGAATAAAGCACAAAAAAAAATAAATGAATAATCATGGATTTTTACCAAAAAATATTCCTTATAAATCTATTATTACTTATAATATTCATCATTAAAACATTTACTTTACCAGAAAGTAAGTAACAAAAAAACCTTATTCAGTAACTCCCTGATAATTATATTAATAATAATTTAAGCATGTTTGTTACCAAAATCTTCTGGAACAACCGGAAAACAATGTACATCAAAACTTCCAAAATACTACTTTAATCAAAAACACTACAAATGCCAAAAGTTCGTTTACACAGGATGTGGAGGTAACGACAATCGTTTCGACTCCAAAGAAGAATGCGAAACCCTCTGCAATTTAACCGAAGAAGAAAAAGGTAAATTAGAAGGATTAAATAAAAGCGAAAACAACTCGGTGGAATCACGTATTTTAAAAACGCAAGTTTCTCGAAGACTTAACACCGAAAAAGCTAACGATTCTTCCCCCACAAACGATAAATCATCAACTAAATCAAGATCGATTAAATCAAGATCAATTCAATCAAAATCGATTCAATTAAGATCGATTGATCCAACAACGATTCCCCCAACAACGATTTCGCCAACAACTCAACAAACAATTAAATCAAGGGGGATTGAACCAACGACGATTCAACCAACAGCAAGATCGGTTGAATCTGATTCTAATGAAATAACAACGGAAAAACAAAAAACTAGGAGAAGATCTAGAAAACTTTCTGGTAGAAGAGGAAGGAGGAGGAGAGTGAGAGGAAAATCTGGAAGGAGACCTTCGAGGAGGAATCGAGGGAAAAGTGCGAGAAATCAAGGGAAACGAAGGAGAAATTCGAGGGAAATGAATGGGAAAGCTGGGAGGAGAGCGAAAATTAATCGGAGAAAAGCGAGAAGTAGAAATAAAGCAGTTAGATTATCTGATGAAGAGGCTGAAGATATTAAAGATTCCGATGAAGTTAAGGAACGCCAAGAGAGTGATGAAACGAAGAAATCCGACGAAAAGGGAAATGATGAAAATGTTAAAGCTAATAATGAAACGGTTTCTGATGTTAAATAAATGGTTTTAAGGTTTTTAAATCCTTTTTTCGAGATAATATAAATAAAAATTTCACTAAAAAAGTTATATTTATATTTCATTTTTTGTGCTTATGTAAATGAAGAAAAATCCAGCTTTGTACGTGTAATTAAGTGGTCTTTTTCATCCTTGCTAAAATTCTTGATGCATATTCGTGATGTCCAACTAGTTATGGAAAAAATACGTTCTCCTTTTTGGTCACTTCATAGTGTTGCAACTTCAAACGTCAAAATCTTACACAAATTAGTTTTTTGGAGTTGAGTTTATACTTGCTGATTTAGGTTAGCACTTTGAGTTCTTTTGAGGGTCTCATGATTTCATCAAATTCGGCGAGAAGGCATATTTATGGCTCTTATTATTAAAACCATAATAATAATAATTTACAATAAATCTTGAGGCGTTTTCCTTTTAAGTCGCTGATACAAATTTTTGAAACCCAAATTAAAGTTAGTAGCACTGGAATACTTATTGATGTTTTTGTAAACTTTTTTAGTTATTGTATACTTTTTTTGAACTAAAACTAGAACTAACACTAGACCTAGAACTAGAAACATTCGGGTTTAGCCGTGCGTCTTCAGATACTTTCTAGTTCTAGGTCTAGTGTTAGTTCTAGTTTTACACTATCACTAGAACTAACACAAGACCTAGAACTAGCATCATTCGGGTTTAGCCGTTTTGAGAGACGTGCGGATAAACCCGAATGATTCTAGTTTTAGGTCTTGCGTTAGTTCTAGTGATAGTGCAATGCTAGAACTAACACTAGGCCTAAAACTAGAATCATTCGGGTTTAGCCGTCTTGAGAGACGTGCGGCTAAACCCCAATGTTTCTAGTTCTCGGTCTAATGTCAGTTCTAGTATTGCACTAGCACTATCACTAAAACTAACACTAGACCTAGAACTAGACACAAATTAAAGTTAGTAGCACTGGAACACTTATTGATGTTTTCGTAACATTTTTTAGTTAAATCTCTTATAACATTTTCCATAATTATTATGTTTAGTTCAGCGTGAAGTTGTTCACTGCGAATAAACCATGGCGCATCTACTGCTCTCTATCGAATTTTGTTTTGAAGAGATTGTATTTTTCGGATATTTGTTGCGGAAGCATTACTCCATACCGGGCAAGCATAGGTGACCAAAGATCTTATTAAAGCTTTATATAGCAACATAGTGCATTTAGTTTTCAGATGACTTTTTCTATTTATTAGAGGAAATAGTTGTTTCAATCGAGCATATCCCAAATTCAATCTGTTGTTTACGTGAATACCCCAATTTAATCGTTGATCAAGATGCAGGCCTAAGTATTTGACAGCTTTGTCTTTAGGATTCCAATGAAGTTCTGTGTTATTGATTACTATAC